ACTACATAACTATGAAGATTGGAACCATATTTCAAATTGACTAATTGCTAGATCGGCAAATGTTCTCTCCAGGAATAATAGAAAATGCTATATTGAATGAGAAGAAATAGTTATGTATTCATTTGCAAGATTCAGTTGTGTTTAACTCATTGCAAAGTACCAATTCCTTGGTAAATCGTTAAAGATGAAGATGCAGCTAGTTCACAGTTGGTTTGGTATTCTCAAAGGGAGACAGACTAACTCTTATTACCCCGATGCAATCAAAGGCTATTTGCTTTTTTAGATGAGTTACTAAAACAGAAATACAATCTAGCTAAACAAGTACACAGTAGCATAGGCAATGGTTTTATTTGAGTTACTAAAATAGAAATACATCATATTAGAAGAAGAATATCTTAGACCATAACCAAATTTCTTAATCTAGCAAAACAAGCACACAATTACATCTACTTAGAAGAAGAAAAACATCATAAGCAAATTTCATAAATCTAGCTAAACAACAGGTACGTGAAGGCTAAAACTAAAATACATCATTCTGAAGTGAGACCCAACAGTATGGCATCAATTTGGTAACCACGCTGAGCATCCCGAAAATTTTGGGTGGCAATGAAGAATGTATTCAATCCACCCATGGAGTAATGGCCCATTCCAACTCATAAATGCAATCTTGTGGTCGTTACATTTTATCAATGCTTCATGAACTGTTATTATAGCTTCCATCGAAATGTTCTGTATGCTACCAAGTTTTGCAAGACATTGTGTTGTTGTGTATGGACATATTTTATCAATCTTCTCAATTTTCTGATCAGTCTTAACGCAATGCTTGTCTAGTCCACTGGTTAACTTTTCTTTCTCAACTCTTCTCCTAGGACGCCTACTTTTGCGAATATCATCATCACTTGAACGCTTGCTACGACGACTCATTAGAATAGTTTGAGGTTCCTCTGTGTTTTCTCCCTCATGAATTTGGTTGGTTTGTAAATCTGTTTGTACGAAACTAATTTCGTTACCAGACAAGAAGACATCCTCCTCCACATCTCCTCATGTTACCACTTCTTCTATTGATTTATTTGTTTGCCGGGATGACCTTGCTAATGTTCCCATAGCAATATTATCCCCACATTTTTTTTTCAAAAATTTCGTTTTGGTGGAATGGATTACGACGACACTTTGCTAGCTTTGGGTTCTCCTAGTGAAAAAAATAGTAAAATATAAAAAGACATGAATTTGATTTGTTAAAAATGGATTATAAAATTATATTAAAAAAATATATCTGGATTATCTGATCCCATATTTCATCAGTGGCTACTGGCAAATGAAGATTTTCATCCCAACCCCATCCACATCGATTAGCTAGTTGGAAAACAGCATGAAAATCGGATTTCATATTTTTGAACCTAGTCTATGCACTGTTTTCAGTGTAGTTTCCATCAACTCGACGATTTAGTATACCAACCAAATCCTTCCACATGTCCCTCCGCAATATGCCATCATTAATATTACCACACAAATACTGTTCGAACAACAACTCTCCGAAGACTTCATTATGCTGATTTGGCCATCTAGGTGTCCTCAAAATATTTTTATTAGTATTCCCCAACTTCTCATCTAAATTATCCATAATGTCCACTTGAGTATTGGCTGATGACCGTTGCGCCGCTTTGCCTTTCAAAAAACGTTTCATTTTTGCTGTACAAATTTCAAATAATACATTTTAATAGTATCCATGGAGACTTTTTAACAACTATTTCTAATGAGCATGAATGCCATTTGGGAAGTGAATTTTACTGTTTTTGTTCCGAGTAGAAGCTAGGTAATTCATGTTTGAGGATTCGTTGTCAATCAACTCGATTTATCTAGTGCAAAACTAATATGATCATGAAATAAAGATGATTGTTTATAGTTTATTTCTGGGTAAGTTCCACTACTATCCACATTTTCTTCAAGTGTCATGTTACTAACACAACATGTCATACTATCACATCACTCTAGCAAATGAAATATCACAACACAGAAACAATATAGGCATGTGCAAACAGCTGTCGATAATCATGAATCGAGGAAAAAAATGGATAACATGCAAATAGGAGGAAATATTGGATGAATATTAGCCTTAACTGTGGATATGCTATCATAAAAATCAGATATGAGATTAAGGAATCATACCTACTGCCGATCTTCACGCCGCTGGTTTCCTCTAGGGCGACTGCTTGTGCTGGATGTGCGAATGCAAGCAACCGAATAGTTTGCTTTATAATAGCGAGAGGTAGAGACGAGGGAGTATGGGCGACCATGGTGTGTGAGCTGTTCTGAAGAGGAACAAGTGAAGAGATAAGAAAAACAGCTGGAATCGTTCGGACTTCGTTCTGACTTCTTCCTCTCCCGCGAATAAGAAGTTAAATCGATCCGCCGAATCGGGGGATTTGCGAAATCCGGATTTACTGTAAGAAGTGGTCTTTTTCCGTCAACCGCGGATTACATTTACCGTGAGATTTGGATTTGCATTTTAGGCCGTTTGGCTGAATTTCGCCCAAATCCGGCCTTAAATCCGCATACCAAACAGCCCCTTGGGACAGAACTGCGTCTCCAAGAATTGGGCCAGTGGAAGGTTTTCCATTGATCCTGGAAGCCCGTAGCTTTCGCCTGCTCTCTGCACAAATTGATGAAGCTCCCGGTTTAGGCATTCCGCCATCTGTTCTAGAGCGACGGTAGCTTTGTATTGAGCTTTCTTGCTTCGATCGACGCCGCGGACTAGGGCTTTCTTGTCTTCCGCAGTAGGTGCTCCTATATCAACAGGGCGTAGCACAAGCAAGGTGAAGAAGAGGAGAGAAACAGAAATTTCTACTATAGAGATAACATTCCTTTTGTCTGAAAAAGCTGTTTTATCATATTACAGTATTCCCTTTCACCTTTGCCTCAACGGCAAAATAGGAACAGCATTCTTATTGTTAGATTTTTAGATCTGAATTTTTTTTTATTTTTACAAAAAAATTTATTAAAAATTTATTTTTATGAAAATTAAAAAAAAATATTCTTTTCCTAATAATTTTATAACCGACATTATAAAATTTACAATCATGTCAAATGATCCCTCAAGCTAGAACACAATTTCTTAAAAATAGTGAGAAAACAAATTTTTTTATTTTTGATCTAAAAAATAAAAAATATAAGAAAGTTATCTTATTAAAAAAAAAATTTAAACTAGAAAGCTTTTATTTTTTAAACACTCAAAAAATTATCTCGAATAAAGTCTAAAAATAAGAGTTGACATTTTTCTCAAAATCTTTGGAGGTAAAATTTTATTATTGTTAATAAAATAAATAAATATAGCTCATGTCGTGACACAATGGTTATAGAAATTATTACATGCAGTCACTAAATTATCAGAGGCGAATCACGGAGGAGAGAGAGAGTGACATCCTTTTTACTGGACCTCCCCACTCGCACATAAGAAACCACAAAAAAATTAATATAAACATATTTAATTTTTAAAATGTGAGCGATAATGATAGGGATAATTTTATTATCTACTGTATAGAAATTTTGCAACACCGGAATCCTCGTGTGTTCGTTTAGCACATATGCGTTGTAGACATCGCGGAATACCAGATCCTACCCTAACGTGGGTTTGCAATAAGTTATTACGTTTTTCCTGTCACTTTCTGATCTAGAAAATATAAATTTTCCAAACATCCCCTAAAAATTGTTTTTGTCCATGTAACTGGTCGTCTTTTATCTGTGCTGTAATTTCTTTGTAGTTTCCTCTCTGACTTGCGCTTTTATTGTGCTTGTTACTTTTGGCTTTTACCTTGCGTTTTTGACAACGCTTGATCCTTTAATTCCGCTGACACTGACTTTCCAGGCCTGTTACCAAATTTAAGAGGATATCCGGACCTATTTCTAAATATTCGGCTGAACGGACGTAATAATTTGGCCCCCAACGTGGCCCCTCACTCAGTTTTCTTCCTTTGTATCACCTTGATATGGAATCCCTTCTGCCTTCTATTTCTTCTTCCCCAACTATTGTCACTAGGACAGCTCACCTGTCACTTCCGGCCACTTTATTTCGCGCACCGTGTCCGTCTGTATTCTCTGCATATTCTCCATTGTAGTGCGCTCCATCCTCCTCCTTTCCGGT